CCGAATGTTTCATATAAAAATATGCCGTTTTTCTGAGTGGTTCTTTCACATATAATTGTTGAACTCATAAACATTTCACAAAAACACTCTAATAAGACATAAAAAATAAGGTATTCGAAATGTATCCATAAGAGAAACCAGATTATAAACTGATGTGTTTGTAAGATTTTTGTCTCGGAATTCCAGTGAACATCATGTATTAGATATCTTTCCTGTTCTTGAAGTCTAGTGTGCTTAATAAGGTATAGTGCTTGGTGTGCACTTCAGATATAATTTAAACGTAAAGTTTGTTATCCTAAGGATTAACTAATCCAATTTTTACTCTTCTTTGTATATACTGATAGTTTTGTTTATTGTATAAAAACTATTGTCAAGTCTAGCTGACATTACGAGAGTGAATGACACTTGTCATCTCTTAACATTTCTCTGTGATTCGTTTACAGAAAGCATTAATCAAGGACACACATTAATTTAAAGTCGACCACAGGTGCTTTCTGAAGATAATAATTTATTCAAATCGAAAGGACAATGCCAACCATGACATGAAATATTATCTTGTGTTAAATTCACTGGTTTTGTTAGGAAAAATAACCAGGCCTGGTGTGAAGCGACATGCTTCAATACCATGATGTTCTGCTGTCCAGATTGTAAATGTGATAGCAGAACCATTATATCTTCTTGATTGTAATATCTGTGTATGAATGGAAACAATAAAATATAACAAATATTCTATGTTCGGTTACACAGATTATTGTAATCACTGGGGTTTAAAGAAAACTAAGCTAATATATAATTATTGGAGTGGGTGTCCGCCGTTCTTGCTCAGCTGGTATGGGAATTACTGGTCTCCTATGATTATGAGATGTTGTAATCTGATATAAGTGAAACAGATGTGTTCGTTGTGGGTTTGAAAAAGGAATAAAGAAGACAGAAGTTCAAAGTAATAAAACAAAGACCGGAGATCTGAGGGAGAGAATGAATAAACTGAGAGAGGGGAAGAAGAAAGTAATATTCTGCTCGCAAAAAACAAAACCTAAATATACGTGTTGGCAAAATGTCTGAATTCCTCCTTTATGCAATACAAATTCTGAAAAATAACTTGTTTCACTTTTGTTTCAAAAAAAAAAAATCTAGAACATTACTGGATTTCACTTTCTTGTTGTAAAGTAAGAAAAAATACTATAGACTACCTACAAGCAAAACTGCTAGATAAGTGTGAGAAATGTTTAAATCAAAACCATTCGATAAGTGTGTTACTCGTTTGGTTTCAGATCTATATGAAGATACGCATTTTAAGTTTGTAGCTTTATCGACATTGTCGCCAATTTTCTCATTATTTTTCACCGTAGATGCCCCCAATAGCACAGCGGACTTACAACGCTAGAAACCGAGTTTCGATACCCATGGTGAGTAGAGCACAGATAACCCATTGTATAGCTTTGTGCATAATTACAAACAAACAAACAAACACCGTAGACATTTCATGATCAAACAGTTAAAATTACTTGTTGAACTGTTACCAATGGTTTTCTCACTAAAATCTATAGCAAAATTAATTCGAATAAATCTGATTTACTTCTGTTAAAAGTGTAGTTTAAAAAATAAATTATTTTCTGTTAAAAGTTCATGGACACATATTCTCAATGATAAACTATATATATTTTTGCCGAGCGTGACCTAGTGAGTAACATACTTGGACTGTGAATCCAAAGATTTATGGATTGCTATCCGTTCTTGAAAAACGAACTCCACACTTAGGGACTGTGAGTGCCTTGTAACAGTGGTTATACACTTAGGGTCTGTAGGTAAATTATAACAATGGTTACACACTTAAGGACTGTGGGTGCGTTATACCAATGGTTGTCAAATCCTGCTATTCAGTCAAGTAAGAGTAGTCCAAAGAGTTGGTGGTGAGTGCTAGAGGCTGTGGGTGCGTTATACCAGTGGTTGTCAAATCCTGCTATTCAGTCAAGTAAGAGTAGTCCAAAGCGTTGGTGGTGAGTGCTAGAGACTGGGTGCGTTATACCAGTGGTTGTCAAATCCTGCTATTCAGTCAAGTAAGAGTAGTCCAAAGAGTTGGTGGTGAGTGCTAGAGACTGGGTGCGTTATACCAGTGGTTGTCACATCCTGCTATTCAGTCAAGTAAGAGTAGTCCAAAGCGTTGGTGGTGAGTGCTGTTGAATAGCTGATGTGAATGTAGCACATCAATTCAAAATTAGGAACAACCTACACAAAGATTATATCCTTTGTATATCTTTGTATGAAACTATGACATCTTTTGTTTTTTTCGAGCGTTTTTCTAGTTCCGTATACAACTGTTAAACTTTATTAATGGAGGTTACCTTTTAACGTTTCTACCCAAGATCTCTAGATTATAAAAACGTCTGGTGATGAAAACAGCGTGTGAAAGTTTTCTTTACACATTTGCATGCATTTCACAAACCGGATTTATTTACTCCGATAATTTATATTCACGTAATTATTTTATGGTTACGTGTATGAATGTGAAGAGGTTTAATAGTTTTTTATTTTACTTTTTGTTTATTTCTGTGTGATTTCACCAACAAAAAATAAATCAAGCATTCTAGATGCACACATCACTAAGTAGGTGAATGCAGAACAAGAAAGACGGAGGTTAAAATGAGCTCCCACCTTTTTCTAAGTAACTGTTAACGCAATTCACATTATAAAAAGGTGTTTATGAATTCTTGAGCCTTCCGTTTCAAGAACAAAACCAAGCGCATGGTAAACAGATGTCTGCACCTATCCTGCCCCAACTAGTTTTGCTTACATAAATAACAGTATATAAAGGTGTGTTTATGGCATCAGTAAAAGAGTCAGGGAGCAATACTTAACTTACTGAACGTCTTTTTTCCAATAATGGATCATATTTTCTTAAGATAGGAGATCATTCAATTCAAGCCAAAAATCGGTGATATTGTGTTATGTAGTAGTGCTATAGTAAACTGAGGAAAATGACTATCAGTTATGTATGAAACCAGTAGATCAATGTGTTTATATTGCAGTTACCTAATAACACCAAGCTGGTTGTGTTCTATATGTCGTAAAGATAGACCGGTTTATTAAAGTAATTTTGATATTGTAAGAAAATGTCAGGCCTATTATACTATTAATTAAGAAAAAGTTGTTTAACACCTTGATAAGCAAGGCAACGCCTTATGTTTTGTTTCTGTTTTTCTGGGGTTTTGCTTTCCCAATGCCGCAGAAAATTTCGAGTCCATTTTTTCCTTTGCGATAAATTATCTGCTAATTTAAAAATTTCCGATATTTTTTCCTGGTCTTATAAAAGTTGAGGTGAAGGTAAAATAACCACATACGGAGTTTCCGTTCTACACTTTAAATACGTTTTTACAAAGTCTACTATAGAATATTGACTTTCTTTCAGAAATGTTTCCAACATATTTATTCTATTTTCTGAAAATGATGAATCATACCAACTCCCGAATTTCTTTGCCTTACCTGGAAATGGTGAAGAGTCCTATTCTTATTTCTTTTTTGATAAGAACATTCAGGGATTTTAGCCATTCATTCTTCATTTTATGATTGATCTTTATAAGATACCTTACAGCAGTTAGTGTTAAGTTATCGCTGGTTTGTGTTGCTTCTCCTTTGTTAGAGTTAACCGGGTAACCAGTAAACCATTAAGTGTATAATTAAATGCACTCTGGTTGTCAAGGGATCGACGAACAGCCATAAACTGTCCGAATTTTATTTCTTGAGGAAATTTTTTTGTATCACTCGAATAGAATACGAAAAAATATATAGAAATTTTATTGAAATATAACGATGTCTTAATAAAACCACGTGACACCGAAATATTGCGAAAATGCAGTCCTACCGAACATTCCACCATATTGAATATGGATATTCTTGATGTGCGGTCGAAACCACCATTATTATTTATTTCGCCAAATTCTGTCGTTTCATCTATGGCACTATAGATTTTATTTACTTATTTATTTTTTAGGAATGTTAGTGAATCAATGTTTCAGTAATTTAGCATATACACTTATGCTGATTTGACAGCTGAAATATCTTTTCCTAACTATGGTAATATAATATATCTTTATCACGTAGATGATTTTCTAATGTGATAAGCGGATGTCACAATATCCAAAGGATGTGCGTATCATTTACAGGGTAAATTTTATATATAGAAACTTAAATACGAAGCTAGCATATACGTGTTTCTATACGGACCTTCTATGAACGAATCAATTTTGAAACAAGTACGTGAGAGAGAGAGACAGTACTGTACAAACTAGTTTTGATGGTTGGGTTTATGCATATATACATATAATTAAAAGTATGTAGTCTAATGGCTTCTGGAATATCACATTAAGTCTTTTGACCGACTATAAAAGTCTAGAAGGGTCTTTTGATCTCTTGTCTCCTGGTCTTGAATTCTTCCTGTCTTTATCCAGCAACCAAGCAAGATCATAAGGAAAAATGAGAAGCGGATCAGCCGAAGAATTAAATACACAAATCTGATTGCAAATAACATTTTTTTTTCATTTTTCCCTTGTTTTTTTTTCTTTGCTGACCATGTTGGATTTATTCTCTGCATAACATTTAAAGGATCTGCATTTTGCGGATACTGTACACTTACCTGTTGAATATCATTGTATTTGTATACCACACTTGCTTTGGTTTGATTTTTTAAACAGCTGTATTATGCCAAATACGTTAGGAAGAATCAGATTCCTCACTAAAATTTCCTGTATCTCTCTATTTTTAATGTCAATGGACTTCTGAATCACCCGATATAGTGGTCTTACACATTATTATATTGAAGCTGTTCAAAAACCATAGTTGGAACTCAAAGAAGACATTTGAATGTTTCTCTTATTTGGAGAACCATGAAATAAATGAAAGCCAACTAATTATAGTAGTGTGTTGGAAAATAAATATACAAGTGTATCGAGGTGTGTTACCTGTATATGGAACCGATTCCAAACAGAATAGTTATATATATGGACATGGCCGAGCATTATCGCAAACACAAACTTATTATTGCTATGTGTCGATTTTCGCTCACCGCAGTAAGATACTGCTCCTAAAATGAGTCATATGGATCAGATGTTCACAAATCAATCAGATTTTACAAATGAATGAGAGTCATGTCAGTGTATAACGATTGATATAAAAAACAAGTCCAGTAAACCAGCTGCATTTTTGATCACAGTCCTTTTCACAGGTGAGTTGCGCTAGATAATAGAAGAATTATATCTATTTAGAGAGAATCTGAAACCAGATACACTCCTGGGAACACCCTGTGGTCTTTATGCCACAGTATGGCAGGCATTTGGACCTAACTTTAGCCTAATGAATAATAATGCCATACAGAGTCTGCTAAACGTATTGTTTCAAGAAGATGAGGTTATCTGATGTCGTCGCATCCCGGCAAGGGACACCGGATACTAGGATACGCTGGAAAAAGAACTCTTTCGAAAGGATTGTCGAAGGTACTTTAAAACATCTTCAACACTAATCTTGAGCCTGGATATCAGGCTAGCTTTGTTGTTCGTGGTAGCTATGCAACATATGGAAAAGAAAAATTATGAAGTGCTATAAAGATTTACATTTACCAAATGTTTATCTATAAGCATAAATGGTCATTCATCTATAGTTCAGATCACACGAAGAATCATAAGATTCCTGATTTCATAAAAATAAACAGTGGTTTTACTTTATCACAACTAAAATATTGTAAGTTACAACAATCCTTTAATTGTTTTCTGTAGTGTAAGATATCATTACATGAGAGATAAATATATGATTTAGTTCCTTCCTCTCTTTTAACTCTGCATGAGACATAAATATATGATTTAGTTTCTTTCCTTTTTTTTTAATTCTGCATGATAGATAAGTATCTGATTTAGTTCCTTCCTCTCTTTTAACTCTGCATGAGACATAAATATATGATTTAGTTTCTTTCCTCTCTTTTAACTCTGCATGAGAGATAAATATCTAATTTAGTTTCTTTCCTCTCTTTTAACTCTGCATGAGAGATAAGTATCTAATTTAGTTTCTTCCTCTCTTTTAACTCTGCATGAGAGATAAGTATCTGATTTAGTTTCTTTCCTTTCTTTTAACTCTGCATGAGAGATAAATATATGATTTAGTTCCTTCCTCTCTTTTAACTCTGCATGAGAGATAAGTATCTAATTTAGTTTCTTCCTCTCTTTTAACTCTGCATGAGAGATAAATATCTAATTTAGTTTCATTCTCTCTTTAACTCGACTTACGAGTGCAAAATGAGCTAAAAAATTAAAAACATTAAAATAATTTAGGTTGTGTGAAAATATAATAACTGTTTACAATTTTACAACGAAGATTAATCATATTCTATAAAACAGTTTAAACTGAAATGATATACAAACAGCAAATATAGCTACCGAGTGTAAATGGTAGGGTATACAAACAGCAAATATAACTAACGAGTGTAAATGGTAGGATATACAAACAGCAAATATAGCTACCGAGTGTAAATGGTAGGATATACAAACAGCAAATATAGCTACCGAGTGTAAATGGTAGGGTATACAAACAGGAAATATAACTAACGAGTGTAAATGGTAGGATATACAAACAGCAAATATAGCTACCGAGTGTAAATGGTAGGATATACAAACAGCAAATATAGCTACCGAGTGTAAATAGTAGGATATACAAACAGCAAATATAGCTACCGAGTGTAAAACCATTTACACTCGGTAGCTATATTTGCTGTTTGTATATCCTACCATTTACACTCGGTAGTTATATTTGCTATTTGTATATCCTACCATTTACACTTGGAAGCTATATTTGCTGTTTGTATATCCTACCATTTACACTCGGTAGTTATATTTGCTGTTTGTATATCCTACCATTTACACTCGGTAGCTATATTTGCTGTTTGTATATCCTACTAAGGATATACAAACAGCAAATATACCTACCGAGTGTAAATGGTAGGATATACAAACAGCAAATATAGCTACCGAGTGTAAATGGTAGGATGTATTGGTATTAGATGTGCCTTCGAAAATAACGTTGAGATTAAGTTTTTATGAAATGTAATCTCTATTCTTAAGTCTCTTATAAAGGATAGATACGTGTGGTCATCTTATCTCAGAATGTCTCGCACTTAAATTATCATTTGGCGCCTGTATTCGGCTATGGGGAGGTACGTTACACAAAATGAAATAGATTAGAAGCAGAAACGGTAATAATGTTGAACAGATTATTATAAAAGAGACTCATGGGAAGTAAGAGAAATGTATCCTTTGAAGTTAGCCCTCAAATCCCCATTATAGTCACAAACCTGTATAAACAGTATTATAAAAAATAAAATGATTAGATTAATGTAAAAAGTGGACGATAGTGAAGCGCTATTATAGGTAGTAGGGATACTGATTTTGTTATATAAAAAGTGGACGATAGAGAAGCGCTATTATAGGTAGTAGGGATACTGATTTTGTTATATAAAAAGTGGATGATAGTGAACCGCTATTATAGGTAGTAGGGATACTAATTTTGTTATATAAAAAGTGGACGACAGTGAACCGCTATTACAGGTAGTAGGGATACTGATTTTGTTATATAAAAGTGGACGAGAGTGAACCGTTATTACAGGTAGTAGGGATACTGATTTTGTTATATAAAAGTGGACGAGAGTGAACCGCTATTATAGGTAGTAGGGATACTAATTTTGTTATATAAAAGTAGGACGAGAGTGAACCGCTATTACAGGTAGTAGGGATACTAATTTTGTTATATAAAAGTAGGAC